GCAAGACTCCGTCTCTAAAAATTAAGTTGAAGAAATTTAAAAAGCGGTTTGTTCTCAAGGAAAACATTTTGTTCTGGATTTTTCTCCGCCATAACCTGGTGCTCTTGGTCCTTGCCTATAAAACAGGAATTTTATGAGGAGCTACCACAAAATAGTTATAAACCTTGCATGGAAAACATTTAGCAAAGCAGCTGGCATATACTTAGAATGCATAAGTGTTAGCTATTGTTTTACATGCAGGCGTGGTGTCAGAGGTTAGCCTTGAAGCCTTGTACAAGCCGATACATTTTCTACCACTAAACTATAGCCATTGCCCTAATCTTGCCTATTACTGCTTATCTCTTCTCTTTCTTTCCTTTTCATTGATGGAGTCTGGCTACATAGCCCATGCTGTTCTTAAATGCCTGCCTCTCCTGCCTCAACTTGCTGATGCTAGTTGGGTATCACCATGCTTGGTTTCTATTGGCTATTTCTAAGAACGTTTCTCTGTCCTCAAAATGGCTCCTTGAACCGAGTATCTCAGAAGGTATTTTTGTTTGTTTTTTTAATATTCTATTGTGTTATGCTGTTTCCCCTTTCCTACTAAGCCAGGAGAGCGTGCCTGACAAGAAACAGGCAAAGAAACCACTGAGTGAATAGGGAAAGGGGAATGGATTATAATGGGCTACGATGAGAAGAAACCAAACATTAATGACATAGCACAGGCCCCTGCTTTCTAGAACCTTCTGCCATGGAAAGCACGAGAGTTTTGCCGCAGATGCTGCTCATGTTGGTGGCGAAAGAAACTGCAGAAACAAGGGTTCTTTGTATTCCGCCTCTGACAGGCATTCTCAGCCTCCCGTGCGCCTCAGAGCTAGCTCTGCTGGCTTGCTTTCTTCTCTCTGCTGCTACGTATCGGATCTGGGAGTTTCCCTGCTTAATATTTAACTAGCCTTGATGTTCCTGTGTCACACAGTTCATGGGCTAGCAGGGCTGGGCTACCGTCTGCTTCTTTAGTTTGCACAGCGGCAGAAATGCACCGGTCTTACGTAATCTGCCCTCACTCTGTCTTGGCCACGGCTACCCAGACACGTTCACTGTTAAAGTTCACGTTCCGTGCAAATCAGACAGAGCCCGGGCCATCAGATGTTCCATCCCATCAGACTGGACCGCATGGTGTCACTGTCTCCCTCCATTAAGCGTTCGCTAGGACTTGGTCTCTGTGAACCCAAGCATGGCAGACTTCCAGAAATTGGTTTAATATTTAACCCCAAGGAAGCAAAGGACATAGAACATGAAATATACAATCCTAGGAGGCAAAGAGAGAGTCTCACAGAATGAAAGATAAAGGAAAAAGAGTTGTCAAGTTCTGGAAGGAAGGAAGGAAAGGGGCTCCGAGCGAGTCCTTGTTGTTTCTGCAAGCAGCAGCCCGAGCCTCCACTCTCTGACCACAGAGAGCAAGCCTGTGTGAGCAGAAGCTCTGGGAGGGAGCGTGGCTTACAGCATCCCAGCACGACTCTCCAACACCTCCTCCAGACTTGGAGGCTGGCCCCGGAAGAAGGATGTTGCAACTAAGGTGTGTTCAGGGCAAGCCACTTCTCTGTAATCAAGACTAAATCCCCAGCATGTCCAGAGACTGTAGCTGTAGGATAAACTGTACTGCAACCATACACATGCTAATCATTTTATTGCTCTTCCAACAGGCTGTCAAACTCTTTGAAGGCTGATAGAGCAGGGAATAGATGTTGCTCTGCAGTCTTGTGAAATCATTTCACATGGAACTTTAAAGTACTTTTTAGTGGGTGTCTATGTGTGTGGGTGCCCATGGAGGTGTGTGTGTACGGAGGTTACAGGACAACTCACAGCGGTTGGATCTTTCCTCCTACCATGTGGGTTTTATGCAGGGATCAAATTCGGTTGCCAGAGTTGGCAACAAGGCTCTTTAGGGGCCGAGCTACCTCACCAACCCTGAATTTCACATTCTAAAGGTTATGTCTGGTTAGTTATCTCCACATAATTTTTCATTTTAGCTGATTAAGATTTGAATTCTTCAGGATCTTGGTTTTTAGAGATTGTCTCTCACTTACCTGGAAACCAACCACATAAACCAACCACATAAACCAGGCTGACTGGCCAGGGAGCTCCCAGGGATCTAACTGCCAGCTTCAACTTCCCAGTTCCATGATTTACAAGCATGGGCCACTGTGCCTGGGGTTCAAGCTTGGGTGCTGACCCTTATATGACAAAGAACTTTACTAAAAAACAAGCAAGCAAACAAACAAACAAACAAAATACCTTCCAACTCTGTTTTGTACTTATCCAGAAATTCTCCTCTGTGTTCTAAAAACCCCAGCTTCCAACTAAATTGAGGTCTCTGAAAGACAAAACACGAACAATGCCTACAGCCCTGTTCCCCATCACATTTGGAAGGCCTGTTGACAGGAGAATAGATACTTTGTGACCAGAAATACATAGATTTGTGAAAAAAATGAGCAAGTATAAAAATCTGGGGAAAAATTGATGCCAAATAAAAATTCAGCAAAACCCAGAAAATGACACCCAAACTGATGATCTTAGAATAAAGATCATTAGAAAAAAAATCATTAAGAACAAAACAATTAAAAAAAGGCAAAAGAATGGCCAATTCCATATTCACCCTAGTGTGTTCTTTAGATGAGGGGAGAAAAGAATATAGTAGAATGTAACCTACTAGAATAATACAACAAAATGAAGTAAAAAAAAAAAGTAAAACTACTGTCAACAGTTTGAGACAGGGTTTCTCTGTGTAGCCCTGGCTGCATTAGAATACACTCTATAGACCAGGCTGGCCTCAAACTCACTGAGGTCCATCTACCTCTGTCTCCCAAGTCTGGGATTAAATGCAGGAGCCACGACCACGAAGCCTACTGTCCGCATTCTTGAGCTGGGCAATGCTTTGTAGAACTCTGCCACTTCTTTTTTACTTTCTGTTTACTCTTTTGATAGGCTCTCGCTGGTCCTCCTGGCCTCTAACTCATGGCAAACTTCCTGCTCAACCTCTGCTTCCTGGTACATCGGCATGAACCAACATGCCCAGCCGCATGATTCTGTAATACCCAATGCATGGAGAAAAGACTTCTAGGAGACAGGCCTGCAGGTGAGCCTCGAAGGATGAGATGGTGGAGGCAGGGACATACTGACAATGTTCCTAGGGTTCACATTCAGTGTCCAGTACCCAAGTCCTCGGTAAAGTTTCATGAATGAATAAGCAGGTAAGTGACAGGAAAATCTACTGTCTGGTTGACAACTCTTAATGCAACTGAAAATCCGCTCTCTTTTCACACTCGTAATTAATTCCCCAATCAGAATTACATATTTCTTAATTAACTGAAAGAATGCATAATACATTAGAAGCACAAGGTAACACCTGCCAACAGTGACCTGCATTATCTGAAGGTCCCTCAGAAAGATTAAAGCTTTTGCAGACTGAGTACAACTATATGATTGTGGAGTTGGAATTTCACAGAATCACGATCGAAATAATCCTGGACTTTTTTAGTCACATTAGTAGCCATTTATCATCAGTCTTTGTGTCTGATCTTCCATCTTTTTGTAAAAAGAAAACAAAACAAAAATGCTTCTTTTATGGGTATAGGTATTTTGTCTGCACACATGAAGAAGGCATCAGATCCCACCGACCAACAGTTTTAGATGGTTGTGAGAAAATATGTGGATACTGGAATTGAACTCAGGACCTCTGGAAGAGCATCCAGTACTATTAACTCCTGAGATATCTCTCCAACTCCTGAGTGTCCATCCTAAACTGTTAGGTAAAAACTGGTGTCCATTCCATGACTTTTTTTTTTAAGATTTATTTTGTATGATTTTATGTTTGTATGCGCGCACGCACACACACACACACACACACACACGTGTATGTGAGTGCCACACTTGTGCAGGTACCTGCAGAGGCTAGAAGAGGACTTGGGATCCTTAGAAACTACAGCAAAGGTGGTTTTTGGCTGCCCCAATGTGGATGTTGAAACTGAATTTGGTTTCTCTGCAAGAAAACCAAGTGTTTGAACCATTGAACCATCTCTCCAGCCCTCTCTCTTGTTTTACGACAAGAAGTTCTGGTAACCCCCATGCCACTGTGAAACATGTCCTTTGTGTTGACTTGAATCCCATGTCCTGGATAATGTCACTCATAACTCAGATCAGAATAAATTCTTATTCCCTCTGGAAGACAAAGAGCTGGGCTTTGTAGAGTCCCCTGCATAGGGAGACTGTGAGTGGGCATCAGGCAGGCAAGAGGAGAGTTTGTTAATGCATTTTTTTTTCCCAGCAGAAAACTTTCGGAAAATGCTGTGGAATAATCCTGTACACCGTGAAAATCTATTACTCTCATTGGTTAATAAAGAGCTTGCAAGCCAGTAGCTGGGCAGGAACTTAGGTGGGAAAGCCAAAGTAAGGACGATGGGAAGCAGGAAGGTGGAGTCTGGAGTCATCTGGCAGACATAGAGGGAGCAGGAGATGAATGTGCCATGTTAATAAAGGCACCACTGTGTGGCAGACCGTCAATAAGGAATATGGGCTAACTTAAAATGTAAGAGCTAGTTAGTAATAAGCCTAAGCTATTGGCCGAGCATTTTTTTTTTTTTGTCTTCTTCGAGACAGGGTTTCTCTCTCTATGGCTCTGGAGGCTGTCCTGGAGCTCACTCTGTAGACCAGGCTGGCCTTGAACTCACAGATATCCACCTGCCTCTGCCTCCTGAGTGCTGGGATTAAAGGTGTGCATCACCACTACCCAGATGAGCATTTACAATTAATATAAGTCTCTGTGTGGTAATTTGGAAGTGGCTGCTGGAATGGGAAAATGTCTACCACTGAACACACTCACAAGGAGACTTTACGTTACTTAGTAAGACAGGACCACGTGTCTTCTCTGTCAAGTTATTAATATAGCTTGAAGTGTAGCCCTTTCTTTGGGCAAAAAGTGGCCATTTTTTTTTTTAAAGAGAGAAAAAGCCCAAACTTTAAAGTCGTTTTTTAAATGTAACATTTATTTCATGCTATGCCTTTGTATTTTCATACAGTCATCTTAAGATTTACAGTATAGATTTAATAAAGATAGCAAATCACTCTCACCAAATTTTAAAATAAAGCTATATATTAAGTACTTTTTAAAAAAAACTCATTTAACAATACCATATATGATCTTTGATGGTGAACTTCATTTTTGGCACACAGCTCTTTCGTCCTGGTGGTACTGCAACTGAAGAAATGTACGTCACACGTGAAGTGACGGGAAATCATGATTAATGTCAACAATCAGTTTCCACCAGCCAGCAACACCAGAGTGCTCTGGAGTTATTCTGATTATATATAGTCAAAGAAAAACAGGATTAATTCTTAGCAGCTGATAGAGAAGAGTCAGTACCAACATTATAAAATAGGCCTCGGAAGTTGATGTCTCCACAATGCATTTGAGGCATGATTTGGAAACTCAAGACTACCTACCATTTGAATGGAAAGCAGCAATACTCCTAATCTTAGTGTTTGTCCCTCCAAAGAAGCCACCTGTCACATGACGTCGGGAAGTCAGTCACACCCCATTTAGGCAAAGGTGACTCGTCTGACTCATGTTACCTACCATTTCTCAACTAGTCTCCTTAATTATTATGTCATTTGGGTATTACACGCAGCCGAGGTTTGCCTTAGACGTGGTGCTCTTCCTGCTTCTGCAGTGGTGGCATCAGAGGTGTGAGATACTAAGCCTAAAAAAATTATTCCTTAGATAGGGTCTCTGTGTGTGGCTCAGGGTGGCCTCAAACTCCATTCTCCAGCGAGTCTTCTCCTTGCTGTGGGCCACCATGCCTAGCCGTAATTAAATCCCAGAAGGCAGAAACCAAGGACAATGGCAGTTTTCAGTTCAACAAAAGATGATCTTAGAATTTACACATACAATACTAATATAGAAAGGAAAACCATCTTCCTTTTTGTCTCAAAACATAAAATATGGCACACAAACATCTGAAAAAAAGTCTTAAGAATTTTTTTTTTGCCTACTTTTGTTTTTGAGAGAAAGTCTCTATAGCCCAGGCTGGCCTTAAGCTCATGGCAACACCCTGTTTCAGCTTCCCAACATTCTGGGATTATAGGTGTGAGCCATCATGCCTGGCTTTGAAAGTATTTCTCTCTCTCTTGTTTTTTGAGACAGGGTTCTCTGTATAGCTTTGTTAGACCAGGCTGGCCTGGAACTCACAGAGATCCACCCGCCTCTGCCTCTCAAGTGCTGGGATTAAAGGTGTGCGCCCGGCTTCTGAAAATTATTTGTAAGGGAACAAGAAGTATGTGTCCAAGGTGTGCAGGTAAATGTCATCTCAGGCAGTAAATGTCATTTCCTCTTTGAACATCACAGACATACAAATACGCATGAAGACTAAACTCATTTAAAGCAAGCATGGTAGCTCAGGCCTGTAATTCTAGTCCTCAGAAGGCTGAAGCAGGGGAATTGCTATGAACTTGAGACTAGCCTATGTGTGCAATACAGTAAGTTCCCAGCCAACGTGGGCTACATTCAGAATAAGACCCTTGTATTTGAAACAAACAACAATAAAAGATGGCATTTCCTTCCCTTCCCAGACACCTGGCTCCACTTTCATTTTCTGAGTACATCATGTCATAGGGCTGTTTCAGCTGCAGAAGGCTCTACTGTAACAGGGCTGAGTGACAGGAGACTCAGAAAGTATCCCACTCAAGCTCCTACCCGACAAGCTTCATGAGCTTGGGGATAGCACAAGATTGGTCTATGCCTCATTTGTAAGTGAAATGAAATGGTTAAACTGTGTTCTACACAGCCATGGCAGCACTGGCATTTTAAGATCTACAGACTCTCAAAGTGTCACTAGAAATCAGACTTCATTGACACTCCCACCCAATGGCTGGGTAAGAATTTGAGTCCAGAGAGTTTAAAGCTTTCAATAACTACACTCAACTAACAGTGGCTCCTTCCTCCCATCTACTTTTAGAGAATTAGAAATGGTCACAAATTCCATGCAAGTCTTCTCATAAAAGATGGTGTCTATTTCCCTACTCCTGGATTCTGGGCTAGTTTTATTTTTTAAATTTACTTTTAAAGCTTATTTATCTTAATTGTACGTATATGGATGTTTTGTATGCACGCATGTATGTAGCTGGTGCCCACGGAGGTAAGAAAAATATATTGGATCCCCTGGAACTAGAGTGGCAGCCAGATGCGAGCCATTATATAGTGCTGGGAATCGAACTTGGGTCCTCTGGAAGAACAGCCTGTGCTCTTAAGCACTGCACTCTCTCTCCAACCTAGAGCTGCTTTTATGAATTGCTTTGGTTCACAAATGATGTGAACCATTTTGTGGTTTCAAAGTTTCCAATTTCTAAGCTAAAGGAGAGAATCAGTTGCAGGTTCTAGATTATTTGGGGTTACATGACCTGGAACTTTGGCAATTCAACTCAGGGCAAAGGTGACTTGCAGACAGACACATGAAACAATCTGTGTTAGGCAGATATCTGTCTCTATAACAAGGTACCTGTGATAATCAACCGATAAAGAGAAGGGCCGTTTTGGCTCACAGGTTTTGAGGTTTTAGTCCATGACTGATTGACCTCCCTGGGGCCTCTGATGAGTTAGTACATTGTGTGAGGGCAAACGGTGGAGACACACTGCTCACTAATCTCATGAAGAGAGAGGACTGGGCCCACAGTTCCATCAGGGGCAAATCCCAGGTACTTGTGGTTCTTTCACTCGGTCCCAACACCTTTCTAAATGCATCTAGGACAGCATCTCCTGCATCTCCAGCTTGGCCTCAGACTTGCTCTCTTACCAAGGCTGTACTGGACTCCTGATCCTCCGCTTCCATCCCAAGGCTGAGAGGTGGCAATGACACTGTAAACGTCACTTTGCTCTAACAGGGGCTGAGATGCGATTTACGGATCTGTGGGGTTTGGAGACCTTAGGGAAGGAACATTTTTGGGGGACCTGGCAAAGATTTCTCTAAGGAGATGACACCCAAAGGAGCTAATGAGAATAATTTTCCTGGGCAAAGAGGGAGAAGTAACATTCTAAAAATTAGATAACATGTTCATAAACATTGAATGAGCATTGAATGAGTAAGACAAGGTCCTAGGGTCATTGGAGTATTCATATTCACTAATTATTATATGAGGCTATGTGTGGTGTGTGTTCTTGGGTGAGTCCGTGTGTGTGTGTGTGTGTGTGTGTGTGTGTGTGTGTGTAGAGAGAGAGAGAGAGAGAGAGAGAGAGAGAGAGAGAGAGAGAGAGAGAGAGAGAGAAGAGAGAAAGAGAGAGAGAGAAAGGCCTTAACAACTCATGGTCCAAAGATATTTGCTGAGGCAGGAGGATTAGTGGGAGTTTGGGGACAGCCTGTGCTACATAGCAAGACCCATCTTTAAAACAAAGTCCTCTGGCATTTGACCTTTAAACTGGGGGTGAGAGGAACCAAATAAGAAGACACCGAACTCTTCTTCACTCCCTCCCTGATGGACAGAATGAGGGGGTGTGTGTAGTACAGGGAAATTCTAGGATCTAGGGTCAAGGCAAAGGGCATTCAGAGAAGACCGTAGTGCCCACAGCCATCCCTTTTTCTTTCGTCTGTCTCATCTGTAAGGGTTATCCTATCCGAATGTGGTGCCGTGCACCTGTAACCCCACTTAGGAAGTGGGGGATCATCAGTTTGGCACTGACTCACAACAAGCATAAATTAAAGCCATGTGGTAAGGTTCCCTACTTAGTTGCTGGGCTGTTTTGAGCGTATGATGAACCAATCTGTGCTGTGAGTGGGTTTCTGCATTTATAGAACGGGTGATGATGGTATTGACCTCTCTGGCCAATGTGAACTATCCTATATCACTTCAAAATCCTATTTTCTTACTAGAGCTAGAAAAATGTATGTATGTATGTATGTATGTATGTATGTATGTATGTATGTATGCACTAACAAAATTCATTCCACCAGGTACCAATGCATGACAATCACCTCCCACTAAGAAATTACTGAGGTATAACAATTACTTTGTTAATGCATAAGAAAGTAGGCTCTCGGTTCAAAATATACTACATAAAAGGACTGTCTCATTTGGTACTCTGAGGAATCTCCTGGATTTTTGAGATAGGGTCTCCTATATCTCAGGCTCATTTTGAACACTTCCTGGGTGCTGGGATTACAGGCCTGTGCTGCCACACCTGGTTCAAAGGAAGTCTTTTCTAGATCAAAGAAACATGCACAAGTGAGGTGAAGAATTCTCACGCAAGATGCAGACTGGAATGGCAATCGGACTCCTAACTGAGCAGAGCGTCCTGTGACATTAGGAGACTTGTAAAGATCCGGGCTGAGAAGTCATTTTGAGTGTCAAGTTGGTTGCCATGAAGCCAAGTCCCTTAAAGGTTGCTGCTCGCGGAGTGCAATCTTGTCAGAGGTCTGACTTTGAGTGTTCCTTGGGTACGGACAGACCTCTTTGCTTTCACACCCAGAATATTTCGAACGAACTCCAGAAGGCTGCGGGAGCCGATTCACGGGACGAAAGCACTCAGGCCAGCGAGGAAAAGAGGGTCAGGCAGTTGTGGGCATTGTCTCCTTGTCCATTTCCACCTCCCATGACACAGAGTTTTGTTTTCTTTTTCACCTCGTGCCATAACCAAAAAAGGTTAAGCTGAAATTGGTGATCAAGGCAGAAATTAAGGAAAAGTCAGTAGCGAGGGGTTACCGGGCGAGGCCCCGCCTTAAAAGAAAGAAAGAAAATCTAAACAGAGAGGAAAAAGTTACTTTGTGATAATGGTTTTTAAGTAGCTGAACACTTAAGAACCTTCTTGCACATTCTTGTTAGCGGGTTACATTCCTAGGTGCCCCGTTTTCATTTTAAGCTGGTGGAATCTAGGCTTACTGAATAGCTTCAGGCTAATTTTGCTGAAAACCATTTTTGTTAATGTGGGGTCTCATTATGTGGCTCATCCACCAGAATTCAAGTGATCCTCCTGCCTCAGTATCCAGGACCGCTGGTGCCATTTCATTACTCCCGCCATCAAAGCACAACGGAAGTGATGTAAACTATGTAATAACTATCCTAAGAACTCCTAGAAAAGACATTTCCCCCACGTTGCTATTTTAGCTTTCTAACAACTTTCTGCAAACGTGAAAACCCATGATTGGGGACTGTGGACTGGGCTCCAGTAAGGGAATTCTACGCCACAGGGAAACAGTTTCCCGGTTGCCACCTACGTTGGCACAAGCACATGGTTTTGGAGACAGGCACTCACACTGTGAGCTGAGGCTACCCTTGCACTTGCAGCCCTGATCCTGCCTTGACCTCCTGAGTGCTGGGATTATAGACTTTTGAGCCACCACACCCCTGCTATGTTTTTTTTTTAAATGTATGACCCGGTTCTTCCACATTCAAACACTGCATATAAGTCAAGGTGCGTATGGACAGAGAAAAGATCCGCATGTCCCAATTATCCATTTGTCTGCCCATCGTTGCCATGTCATTTGTCGTGTTGTTCTGGGACGGGGCATCAGCGGCGAGGTGTCCTTGCTCAGCAGTCCAACTCCTCCATGACTTCCATGACGATTGTCCTTGGGCCTGTGAGAATCAGGTTGCTCACGGTGCGGTAGTCTACATTCAGCACGTTGAGCCCATTGACAGAGACGACGAACTGGCAGACCTAGAGAGGAAGGGCAGAAAGAAAGTACATCAATCAGCTCGGGCTGGGGATGTAGCTCAGTCGATGAAATGCCTGCCCAGGGTGTTCATGGTCCCGGCATTTGAGGGGCGGAGAAGCAGGGTCGGAGTGGTTACTCTAGGCTATATAAGAAGCCAGTCTGGGGTAAGTGAGATGTGGTTGTCTCCAGACACATAGACACAGACAGACAGACAGACAGACAGACAGACACACTTATAGTTATCAATTTTTTCATAGGCTTAGTGTGGCCCAACATTTTTCTTAAAATAGCCAAGTCCAACCAGCTAGCTACTCTGATTCAATCATCTTCCTTCCTTCCTTCCTTCCTTCCTTCCTTCCTTCCTTCCTTCCTTCCTTCCTTCCTTCCTTCCTTCCTTCCTTCCTTCCTTCTCTTTTGTTTTTTTGAGACAGGGTTTCTCTGTATTGCTTTGGAGGCTGTCCTGGAACTAGCTTTGTATATCAGACTGGCCTCAAACTCACAGAGATCTGTCTGCCTCTTCCTCTCGAGTGATGAGATTAAAGGCGTGAGCCACCAATGCCCGGCTGATTGAATCGTTTCTAAAAGGACACACTTTTTCTACAGGGCAGGATAACGGAAAAAAAGCATTTTACAAAAATTGGACTTAAATCCTAACTCTGAATCTTATTAGCTTATATTACTTAGTTATATTTCTAAGTTTAATTTCCATCTATTGTATGGTACCGACCTCATATGACTGTTGCAAGAATTCCAAGACAGAGTACATGAAGCTTTTATTAAAGTGGGCCAATCTATGGGGATTCACAATCTTGTAGTTGTTGTGCTTGTGGCTATAATTATTTGCATGGGCCCCTGCCCATCCTACATTATTGTTAGTAGTGCCTCCTTTCACTCACCAAAGCATCTGGCTAATGCTAATCTCTATATATCACCCTGGTGACCATCCTTATGAACATGGAAAAGTTAGTGAAAATTAGAGCATCATTCAGTTACAAGCACCATTTCCACACTAGCTGGTCAGCCAGTCCAGCCCAAAATAGCTAGCACTAGGTTCAGTGAGAAATCCTATGTCAAAAATTATATGGAGAGTGATAGAGGAAGATACTTGCTGTAGCCCCTCCAGCCTCTTTAGGCACATGCACTAGCTAGAATCTACACATACATACACACACAGAGACACATCAACAGACACGGACACACACATACAGAAAGACAGAGAGAAAGATAAAGAAGACTAAAAAAAGGAGTTATGCTCAGCTGTTAAAGTGCCAACCATTCAAGCCTGAGAACCAGAGTCTGGATCCCCAGGAACCCATGTGTGGTTGTTCGAATAAGAATGGCCCCCATACGCTCATATATTTGAATCCTTAGTCACTAGGGAGTGGTACTATTTAAAAGGATTAGAAGGATTAGGAGGTGTTGTCTTGTTGGAGTAGGTATGGCCTTGTTGGAGGAAATATGTCACTGGGGGTGGGCTCTGAGGTTCCAAAAACCTCAAGCAACGACCAGTGCCTGCCCCTCGAGGCCTGTGAACCAGGATGTAGCTCTGTAGTTCTCAGCTACTGCTCCAGCTCCAGTGTTACCAGGTCCATGTCATGATGATAATGGATTAAGCCTCTGAAACTGTAAGCCAGCCCCCAATTAAATGGTTTCTTTCATAAGAGTTGTCTTGTACATGGTGTCTCTCCATAGTAGTCATTACTGACTAAGTCATCATGTAAATGTCAGGTGTGTGTGTGGCAGATCCCCTATAACCCCAGCACTTGGAAGGCAGAAACAGAGATTCTAGAAACAAGCTGGCGTGAGCCATATCTGTGAGTTCTGGGTTGCCTTACTGAGAAGGGTGAAGAGTGATTGATGTCAATCTTGGATCTTCACAGGTACATGCAAGAGTACACACACACACACACACACACACACACACACACACACACACACACACAGGAGGAAAGTTAAAGCCAGTGAGCAGGAAGAAGGAAAGAAGTGAGAGAGAAGCAGAGGTGACTGAGATGATTAATCCAGTGATGCTTTCTCTGAGGGCCTCACCATCTCAAGCCTGTAAGTTCATTGTCTGGACAGTTCACATGCATGCCTGTGAGAAATACAAATTAATTCAGTGTGGAAAACTAAAAAGAATGTGAGAAAGACTCAAACCTTTGGGAACCCACCATTTCATTTTTTTATTGACCTTTGGCACAGTAATGGCAATATAAACTTAAACTTAAAATCAAGTCCCAAAATAATCAACACCTAATGCCTGCACATACCCAAGTTGGGAAACATCAGAATCACAGCTTTGTTTCTGAATTTTTTTTTATAAAAAATGTTACAGGATTTAGAACCCTAATATAGGGATTTATGACTTATGTCCCTTTGATGGTGACTTTAATTTAAGTAGGTCACTTCTCCTCTTTTATATCATGTGCTTTCTGATATAAATACACCTCATTTGGAGCTGCGGATGTAGCTCAGTTGGAAGAGAACTTGCCTTGGATGCACAGAGCCTTGGCTTGACTCCCAGGACCTTAAAAGCTCAGTGCCTGGCAATATGCATGTGTAACATTAGCACCTTGGTCCAGTGGAGGCTGGAGGGTCAGAAGTTAGCGATTAACCTTGGCTGGTTGGAGGCCAGCCTGGGCTACATGAGACTCTGTCTCAAAAAATAAATAAATAAAAAAGCATTACTCAGTTGTAAAATCAACAGGTTAAAAAATGCATATTCATCCATACATAATGGATTTAAAACATTCTGGAAGACATCACACAAATGCTGGGCTTGCTAACTCCTCTCTCTTTAAAAAGAATGGTCATTTCCTAGCCAGCGGTGGTGGCACATGCCTTTAATCCCAGCACTCGGGAGGCAGAGGCAGGTGGATCTCTGTGAGTTCGAGGCTAGCCTGGTCTACAGAGCTAGTTTCACAACAGCTAGGGCTGTTACACAGAGAAACCCTGTCTTGAAAACAAACAAACAAACAAACAAAAAACACAAAACAAAGAAATCATGGCTACATGAGTAGAAAGTGTAATGTAGCAAACACAATCATATTTCTTCAGTAAACATGAACCTTGACATTTCCGCTCCTTACTCAGACATGTCTAGAGTATAATCAGCAGTTTTCAACCATGGTCAAATTCATAGTGATACTGAGGTCACAATGCCTGATCACAATTCACCCAGAACGGAGCACTTGTGGGGGCATTTTAGCACTGACCTAACTAAGCTGTTGACTTGTTTTCCTCTGCCAAAGAATGAGAGGAATGTCACCCCCTCCCACCCAGGGTGCTGGACTTCAGATCTGGGTTCCTCTCTCCAAAAGATGCCTTTGTGTTGCTAAAGGGGAAGACAGTTGCCAGCTAACCCTCCACGTCTCCGGGATAATTTGTGTCTCTGAATCACACTGTGGTCATATTAGTCATTCGGGCTTCACCACAATTATGTTCTGATGTCCCACACCATTTGTCTTAACTAGTCAACATGGGGGCATTAGGAACATCACATAGAAATCTAAATAAATTCAAGTCTCTGGAGGACAATGTGGAAATGGCATCATAACAGGTCCGATGGTCACGTGACTGCTAGGCCCTTCTAAACTGGGCAAGTGACTTCTCAAATACCATATACCTTTATTTTAAATTTATTTATATATATTTGTGTGTGTGTGTGTATACGTGTGCACGCTAGCATGAGTTTGTGTGTAGAGTCCTGAAGGCACATCCCCCAGATCTGGAGTTGCAGGCAGTTGTGACCTTGGTGCGCATGCCTGGAAGCAAGGCCGGGTCTTCTGCAAGAGCAGCAAGCGATCTTAACCACAGAGCCATCTTTCCAGTCCCACCACAACCCTTTCTACTCCTGCCTTGTCTTCCCACTTAGCTGATGGCTACTTGAGCTTAAGAGCCTGGTTCAGGCTGGGCAGAGGTAAAGGAGAGGGTGGCTTGAAGCTTCAAAGACGGAAAGGCATTTTAACAGTCTCCTGCTAAACCACTGCACTTCAAAGCTTCCCCATGAACTAACGACTGTAAGGGCCCACATCCCATCCCCATTGTAGGTATTTTGGCCATCAGCACACTTGACAAAAATGCCCCCTCGCTATGAATAAACATGGTCCCACCTAAGGTCAGACTAAGCCTCTAGGTTTTTTTTTCTGCTTTCATCTCTCTACAGCTGCTTTTTAAAAAATAATGTAACACATTTATCCACCAACTAATCAAAGAGAAATAAAATTTGGTATATCCATCCTGTGGGATATTAGTTTCAGCCACAAAAGAAAACAAACTGTAAAAAAGACAAACACACAACAGTAATAACAAAACAGCGGGCAACTTTATAATAAACTCCATCACTGTGTGTAAACCTTTTTTATTTTCCTGTTTTGAGACACTGTCTTTAGCTCAGGCTAGCCTCAAAGTCCCTGTGTAGCAGAGTATTACCATAACTTCTTTTTCTCTACCTCCTAAGTACTATAGCTAACAGGCTTGAGCTGCCACACCCCTCTCCCTCCCCCAATCCCGGAACTCTACTTGTCACTCACGCAGTCAACGTAACCAAGCCTGGCCAGTCAAAATCAGTCTCTTAGGTCATCCATTCTGGGGATGAGTAACATGAGACACCTTATTCCTAAATCCAGAGGTCTTCCCTCCTCCTGTCCTTGGTCAACCTTGGGTCACATGACTTACTCTTTTATTGTCTTACTGTCTGATAGCTCCCAATTAACCTAATTCCAGCAATGTCAGAGAGGTCAGTGTTCAAGGTCACATAACTAAGTGGAATTTGAATTTCAAGTAACCGAACAGCTATATCTGAATACAATCTTGTAAGGAAGATATACATACAAGCTCTAAGGAAAGCAGAGGACCTGAAGGTGGTGTGTGAGTACACATGTGTGTGATGTATGTGTGTTTGTATACGTACACGGACCAGGTGTGGTGCATTTTTGCAGCTACAAGTTGTATAGAGTTGCATAGTGACACTAACCTCTTAACCAACATCCCCCCCCCCCCCATC